CTTTGTTTTAAGTTGTTTATTTTTCTTTTTTCGTGTTTATCTGTCCTCTGTCTGTTTCTGTTATTTGCCTACCTATCTTTATCTCTCTCTGCTTCTCTCTACTCTCTCTCTCTCTCTCTCTCTTCTTCTCTCTCTCTCTCTCTCCTCTCTCTCTCTCTCTCTCTCTCTCTCTTCTCTCTCTCTCTTCTCTCTCTGCCTCTCTCTGCCTATCTCTTTCCCCCCACCTCTCTCTCTCTCTCCTCTCTCTGCTCTCTCTCTCTCCTCTCTTCTCTCTCTCTCTCTCCTTCTCTCTCTCGTCTCTCTCTCTCTCTCTCTCTCTTCTCTCTCTCTCTTCTCTCTCTCTCCTCCTCTTCTCTCTCTCTCCTCTCTCTCTTCTCTCTCTCTCTCTCTCTCTCTCTCTCTCTCTCTCTCTCTCTCTCTCTCTCTTCTCTTCTCTATCTCTATCTCTATCTCTCTCTCTCTTTCTCTTCTCTCTCTCTCTCTCTTCTTTCTCTCTCTTTCTCTCTCTCTCTCTCTTCTCTCTCTCTCTCTCTCTCTCTCTCTCTCTCTTCTCTCTCTCTCTTCTCTTTCTCTCTCTCTCTCTCTTCTACTCTCTCTCATCTCTCTCCTTCCCTCTTTTTCTCTTCTTTCTATGTCTCACTGGTTCCTCTCCTCTTTCTCCCGCCCGTGTGCATTCCCACTTGCTATTCCAGTTCCTATTCCAGCTCCTCGAAGCCATTCCCGCGCATTCCCACTTGCAGCTACCATACACATCGTTAAAACTTTCCAGTCATTTCTTTTTTTTCTTCTTTTTGTTTTTTTTGGTTTTTACTATTGTCGCTTCCACCATTTTTTTTTCTCTTACTCACCCCTTCCTCCATCCCCCCTTCTCCCTTCTCCCCTTCCCCCCTTCGCTGCCGTCCCTCCCTCTTCCGCTCTCTGTTGCTCCCCGCTTTTGTTGAGACTCCTTTGTTTGCAGCTTTTGTTGCAATTTCGTCTGCCACTTCCTCTGCGCGCAACAAGCTAACTACGGTTTCGATATCGGGGTTTCGGGGAGTTCTTGTTTCTCCCTTTTTACGGTCGAGGGAGAAAGGGAGAAAGAGGGTGGGGAGAGGGTTGGAAAATCGATGTTTTTTGGGGGGGATTATGGGTGTATTGTCAAGGGTTAGAGGAGGTGAGGGAGAGGGGGAGGGGAAGGGGAGGGGAGAAGGAGAAGGAGGAGGGAGGGAGGGAAGGGAGAGGGAGAAGAGAAAGAAGAGGGAGGGAGAGAGGAAAGAGAGGGAGGGAGGGAAGGAGGGAGAGAGAGAAAGGGGGGGAAGAAAGACACTATAGGAGAGGAGAAAGAGAATGATAGAAGAGAGTGAGTGAGAAATGAGAGAGAAAGAAATAGATAGAGAGATGATTGAATGAGAGAGAGAGAAAGAGATAGATAAGAGGAGAGAGAGAGGATGAGAGAGAGAGAGAGAGAGTGAGAGAAAGAGATAGATAGAGAGAGAGAGATGAATAAAGAGAGAGAGAGAGTTTGACTTACCCACCGTCGGCCTGTTGCCCCAGCATTAACCCGCTTCCTCCCCCCCAGAAGACGTCCATCACGAAGAAGGTAACCAGCGGCACCACCGACAACCACATCCCCCACAACATGAACAAGAGGGACATCATTCGCGCCACGGACTTCAACTTCCTCATGGTCCTCGGCAAGGGATCCTTCGGCAAGGTCCTCCTGGCGGAAAGGAAGGTCAGTAAGATCCCCCATCCCCACCCCCAACCCCACACCCCCTAGGACCCTCTATCCTTTTATCTCTCGTTTTTTTTTTTTTAAACCCTTATCTATCCTTTCGTATTAGATGTTTTTTTTTTAATGACGGAAATGATCCTAGGGGCTGGATACGTATAAGCCTCCTGCGACCGAGTGATGAGTGAGTGATGTTGACGTGATGTGAGTGAGGTGAGTGAGTGAGTGAGTGAGTTGAGTGAGTGAGTGAGTGAGTGAGTGAGTGAGTTGAGTGGAGTGATGAGTGAGTGATGAGTGAGAAGAGAGAGAAGAGAGAGAGAGAGAGAGAGCGAGCGAGAAGAGAGAGAGAGAGAGAGAGAGAGAGAAGAGAAGAGAGAAGAGGAGAGAGAGAGAGAGAGAGAGAGAGAGAGAGAGAGAGAGACAGAGAGAGGAGAGAAAGAAAGAAAGAAAGAGAAAGAGAGAGAGAGAGAGAGAGAGACCGACACCCCACCGCGCCATTTTGAATTCCCCGTCCCTTATGACTTATTCATGTGCCTTTAGTAAGCTTAAAGGAAAGGAGACGTTCCGTGGGACGACGCTGCTACTCCCGCCCCCCCCCCCCCGCCCCCCTGCCAGCGACTGCGGACCTGGAACGCGACGAGGAAGAGAAGCTGGAGGTCGGGAATGTGGTCGGACGGTCGGGGCTGTCGGAGACGCTGCTGCACTCTCGTCGGTGTTTTTTTTTGGTTATTTTTCGTGACTGGAGAGGGATTTCCAGCGGTTTTGGGAGCTCGGGGAATGAATGGATGAATGAATGAGTGAATGGTTGTCTCTAGGACGTGGTACAAGCTCTGGATATGGATGAATGAAGGAATTGTTATCTGTAGGATGTAGCACAAGCTCGGGGCATGAATGAATGAATGAGTGTTTATTTCTATGATGTATCACAAGCTCGGGAAATGGATTAATGAATGAATTGTTATCTGTAGGATGTGACACAAGCTCGGGATATGGATTAATGAATGAAAGGTTATCTCTAGGATGTGGCGCAAGCTCGGGAAATGAATGAATGAATGAGTGTTTACCTCTAGGATGTATCACAAGCTCGGGAAATGGATTAATGAATGAGTGGCTTTCTGTAGGGTGTAGCACAAGGGATGAATGAGTGGATGCGTGTATGAATGAAGGGTAATCTGTAGGAAGTAGCAAGGAGAGTGAATGTGAATGGCTACCTGTAGGATGTGGAACAAGGAGGCCGCTCTGGCTAAATGAGAGTGATTCGCAATTTTGTGAATTGTCGGAGATGGGGACGCAAGGGAGGTCGATTCCGTGGGAAGAAAGGAAGAGAGAGAGAGAGAGAGAGAGAGAGAGAGAGAGAGAGAGAGAGAGAGAGAGAGAGAGAGAGAGAGAGAGAGAGAGAGAGAGAGAGAGAGAGAGAGAGAGAGAGAGAGAGAAGAAAGAGAGTGAGAGAAGAAAGAGAGAGAAAACAAAGAGAGAGAGAGAGAGAGAAAGAGAGTGAGAGAAGAAAGAGAGAGAGAGAGAGAGAAGAAAAGGAAGAAAGAAAGAGAGATAGAGAAACGGACAGACAAACAAGAGTCGAAGCAGAGGGCGCCAGTGGCCTCCCTGTCCCCCCTGCCGCCGCGAGGTCAGCGAGCGAGGCCGCAGCGACGTGCTATTGTGATGTGTCGCGGGAGTGGATCTCCCTCGCGAAAGCCAGGATCGAAGGGCAGGATAAGAAGGAAGGGGAATAAAAAAGGGAATAACGAAGAAAGAGAAGAAGGAGAAGAAGAATCCCTCCTCCCCCCCCCCCCCTTGCTATTCTTGCGAGGGCCGACCACTACCGGGAACCGCTGATGCCGTGGCCTCTGGCGCTGAACTTTTCCTCGAAAACCTCCCCTCGCTGTTGACCGAGGGCGGCGCGGCGACCCCTCGCCCGTCGCCAGGTAACGCGCCCGTCACAGCCCGCCCGTCACAGCGTCACAGCCCACTCGTCACGGCCCGAGGTCTACATACGTACATGGATCCGTCACAGCCCAGTCTACATACTTACATGGACTCCGTCACAGCCCTGTAGTCACGGCCCAAAGTCTACATACTTACATAGACCTTGCCACAGCCCGCCCGTAACGGCTCAAAGTCCATATACTTAAGTAGTGGCTATCACAACCCGACCATCACGGCCCACGGTCTACATACTTACATGGACCTTGCCACAGCCCTCCCGTCACAGCCCAGTCTACATACTTACATAGACCTTGTCACAGCCCGCCGTCAGTGCCACGGTCTACATACGTACATGGACCCCGTCACAGCCCTGTAGTCACAGCCCAGTCTACATACTTACATGGACTCCGTCACAGCCCTCCCGTCACGGCCCAAGGTCTACATACGTACACGGACCCCGTCACAGCCCTGTAGTCACAGCCCAGTCTACATACTTACATGGACTCCGTCACAGCCCTCCCGTCACGGCTCCAACGACCGGTGGCTATCACAGCCCAGTCTACATACTTACATGGACCCCGTCACAGCCCTGTATCACAGCCCACTCGTCACGGCCCAAGCATACTTACATAGACCTGCACAGCCCTCCCGTCAGTGCCCAAGGTCTACATACGTACATGGACCCGTCACAGCCCGCCCGTCACAGCCAAGGTCTACATACTTACATGGACCTTGTCACAGCCCTCCGTCAGTGCCCACGGGTCTACATACTTACATGGACCCCACAGCTGTAGTCACAGCCCGCACACCCGGCCAGTGTACGAATATTGCTTGTAGCTTCCGGTGAATCGCCCAAAGTGTTTTTTTCTCTCTTTCTCTTATGAAAGTCTTGGAGGATTCCGCCTTGAGGATGTAATAAGTCTGTGCTCTGAATAAGCGAGAACTATTTTTTTTTTTAAGGTCGTAATGGAAAACTTCCACGAGGCTTAAATTAAATTTGAATATTCACCTTATGAAATTTTGAGATATCGCACGCACGCACGTATGCACACGCTTGAGTACACGTACACACACTCAGCGTGTGCGTGTGTGTGGTGTGTGTGTGTGTGTGTGTGTGTGTGTGTGTGTGTGTGTGTGTGTGTGTGTGTGTGTGTGTGTGTGTGTGTGTGTGTTGTGTGTGTGTGTGTGTGTTATGCCTACCTACACACATTACACACACACACACACACACACACACACACACACACACACACACACTACACACACACACACATACACATATATATATATATATAATATATATATATATATATATATATATATATATATATATATATATATATATATATGCATATGTACATGTGAATATAGAAATAAGAGGTAGATGTAAATATATATATATGAATATAAGTATAAGTATGATTATTTATGTATACAAATATATATACCCATGTACATATACATGTATATGTATATGTACACACGCACACCCACACATATGTACACATATATATGATGATGAAGTATTCCATTTTTTTGTTTTCTTTTTGTGTGTATATAAAGAGTAATTACATTTTTTGGAGTTGTTATATGATGAACATCCAGCGCCACCTGTCCCCCAACTTCCGGTAATTGACTCTGTTCTCTTCTGGGGCGCGTCGGCTGGGGCAACGGCGCCCTCCTCATGCCCCTAAGTGTTCTGTCGGCGGGCCACGCGTCCCGTTGGCAGGCCCTTCGCTCTGGCAACGGGTCACCTGTCCCGTTGCCAGACCCCGTGGCCTGTTAACGGGAGGGACGGCCCCGCGGACGGGACTCGTGACCCTGTGGTAAGGCTTCGGTCTTGCCCCTTGGGTCCGGTGGCTGTTGGTCCCACGGCTGACCGCCCCCGCCCTTCCTCCTGCAGGGGAACCGCAACGTAAGAGGGCCTGTGGTTGACCCCTTCGCATGCGCCCGTGTGATGCACCCTCCCTGCATGGCGTTCCTGGGTTCTGTGGTTGCTGTGTGTCCCTTTTTTTCGAAGCCATTTCAACCCCTTTTTTTTTGTCGAGGATATTTCACTTTCTTTTTTTTTCCCACGAGAATATTTCATTTCTTTTTTCCCACGAGAATATTTCACACCTTTTTTTCCCCACGAGAATATTTCACACCCTTTTTTCCCGAAAATATTTCACTTCTTTTCCAGGCTGTTTTCTCCGACGTCGCTCCCGTTCCATCTTCTTTTTTTTCTTTCTTTTTTGCTCTCCTCTTCGTCCCCTTTATCCCCCTCATTTCCTTCTCCATAATTCAAGCTAGTGAAATCCGGGGAACAGAACACGTCAACTTTTCTAAAAGGCTTTGTAGGACGTGGATGAAGGAGAGAGAGAGAGAGTCGTCAGTTGTTTTATTCCCCAGTGCCTTTCCCCTTTTCACACTCCCCTTAACTTGTTGCTCCTCCTCTTCGTCTCTCCTCCTTTTCGTCTCCTCCTCCTTCCTTCCTTCCTCTTCCTTCCTAGTATCATCTCTTTTTCTCCATTACATCCCCTCCTCCTCTCTCTTCTTTCTCCTCCTCCTCTCTCCTCCTCCTCCTCCTCCTCCTCTCCCCCCTCCTCCTCCTCGTCCACTTCCTCCACCTCCTTCTTCTCTCCTCTCCCTCCTCTCCGCCTCCTCCTCCTCCCTCCTCCTTCCTCCTCTCCTCCTCCTCCTCCCTCCTCCCTCCTCCCCCCTCCCCCTCCCTCTCCTCCCCCTCCCTCCTCCTCCCCCGTCCTCCCCTCCCTCCTCTCCTCCTCCTCCTCCTCTCCCCCCTCCTCCTCCTCCTCCCTCTCCCCTCCCTCTCCCCCTCCTCCTCTTCCCCCAATATTTCTCCATCGCAAGACGAGTGACCTTTGACCTTCTGTCGTTCGGGAACAAAATGTCGCCGAGGCCCAGCTGGGTTAATATTGACCTGGGTTTTGATATTCATATTTTCCGCGCCTCTTCATCTCCATCGCCATCTTCCATTTCATAACAGATCGTCTGTCTTTTTCTCGTGTCGTTGCTATATTTGGTCTCTCGCTCTGTATTTGTTTTTTTTTTTGTGTGTTTTGAATGTCTCTGTTTTTTTT